TTCTAATTTCTCATTGATTTTGTTATTTTGTTCTTGTATTTTCTTCCAAAATTCTTCTAGGGTTTTATCTGTGTTTTCCTTGGTCTGTCTCTCAATCCTTTGAAGATACCTAAATATAATTATTTTGAATTCTTTATCAGGGAGTTCCAATGCTGCATCTTCCTCAAGGATGTGTTTTGGGTCTATATCCTGGTCCCTTGTTTCTCCTGCTTTATCTTGCTTCTCTGTGTGGACTGTGATGCTCTGTTGTCTCCGAGGCATTGTGACATTTTTGTGTTTATATTTAATTGGTGATTCTATGTTGGAGTGACTTGCCCACAATTTTCGTTTTCTTTGTTTTGTTTATATATTATCTATACAGGCAGGGTACTGTGCTGTGCTCCTCTATTCACTAGTTGACAGCACTTATATACTCACCACCTGTCTCCTTTCCTGTTCTCAGCCTCTCGTATGTGCTTGCCACCCCTTTTTCATTCAGGTTTTTCTAGTAGTTGGTGCCTAATCCACTTCTGTATAGTTCCTTTGAAAGCTCAGGGTTCCAGGATTATCTTCTATATCTCTGTCAATTGGTTTTTCTTTTCTTTGTTGAAGAGGGTCTGCGTCGCTTGTTTGCCTATTCCTCCATCTTACCGGAAGTCCCCAATCATTCATCTTTCATAGTTTGACATAGGGTCAATACAGGCTCACACTGCCCCAGTATCCAAGTCCTAAAATATTTTATCCTACAATAACACCAGTATTTGTTGATTGCAGAGCAAAACAACACCAGCTGAGCATCTGCTTGTGTGTACCACATACACAGTATTTTCCAGCAGCAAGTACAGTTATTCACAACTTTTTCTTGGTGTGAAAGACTTTCACACACACCTGACATCTCAGTTATTATTATCCCAGTATTTACCTGACATCTCAGTTATTATTATCCCAGTATTTAGGGAGCTCTTACTAAGTGTCAGGGTCCAGAGGCAGCATAAATAGTTAAGTGCTCAGGCTGCTAAGCAAAAGATTGACCAGAGGTGCTGCAGGAGAAAGGCTTGGCAATCCACTTTTGAAAAATCAGCCACAGAAAACCTTACGGAGCACAGTTCTACTCTGACATACATAAGGTCATTGTGAATCAAAACTGACCTGACGACAACTGATTTGATTTTCAGTTTTTACCAAAAAGAAGAAGAGAGAACTAAAAGCAAATGAGGAGATGGACATTGTTTATTAGCAGTCATGATGCAGAGACTCCAAGGTCCTTGAGGGCAGGATGGTCCTTGTTCGTCATTTTATTCCCAGTGTCTAGAACAGAGCTTGGCTCATAGCAGGTACTCAAACATATGTGTTGAATGAATTAAGTATTCATATCATATATAGTGACATGACATTCAGCATCTCTCATAGTGACAGTTACTCAGCATCTTCCACATGGACAGGATGATATCCACAGGACCGTGCCCATCCAGTCCCAAAGACATGCACATTTTATACAGTCACAGAACCTCTCTTGTCTTCTCATACAAAACATGAGTTTGCTGAGTCACATGGTGTTTGCTGGTTCCCATCCACAGTACTAGCTAACAAGGTCAATACACATGGGGTCACAGCATCAGCATATTCTCTGCATCTTCTGTTAACAGTGTCTGTATCACTTATGGTTGCAATGTGTCTCTGTGACAAAGAGCCTTTGAAATTAAAAAGGCAGATTTTGACTCTGCCTCAAAGTTTGTCCATCACACTTTTCCACAGTATATTAATTTCACTGTGTGATGTTGGATCTGGGCTGCCACTGTGTGTGTGTGTGTGTGATGGGAGTCTGGGGCCCCATACAATGTGACACAGTGCCTCTGGGTCATAATCAGTCTCAATTTCCCCACCACCACACAGGGACCAGGGTCCTACACAGGGTCTGAAATCACAACAGGCCTCAGAGTCACTCCCGCTCCCACACCACAGTATCTCAGTCTCACCGTGTGATATAGGGTCTGAGGCACCAGGCAGAATGACAATGAGTCTGGAGTCACATTCTGCCTCAGTCATTCTCCTCTCCGTTCTGCAGCGTCTCGGCCTCACCCTGTGTGTGACAGTCTCTTCCACTCAGACTTCCCTGGCGACCCATCCTCACCTGGTCAGGTCCCGTAGCCTCGCCTCCTCCCCACGCAGGTAACGCCGCAGCAGTGCCAGAAGCTGGCGCTCCGGCACCAGGGCGCGCGCCACGCTAGTCAGCGCGGAAAATGTGTCCCCGCGTGCCGCCGGTCCCCCGGGCCTGAGCGCCAGCAGCACCAGTAGCGCCGCCAGCCGCGCCGCGGGGCCCATGGCTGGCGCTTCCTCGCGTTCTCTCTGAGGGTTGCGCCCCACCCGGAGCCCAGCGCTCCCACCCTGCTCCACCCCTCGGCTGGCCCTGCCCTTACCGCCCGCCCGCCCTGCTTAGCCCCCCACCCTCGACTCCTTATTTGCTCTGACGCCTTCCCTGGGTCCTGCCTCTCAGCTCCTCAGATTGCGTGGCAGGCTGCCTGCAACCTCAGTGGCGTGCTCTTCACTAAATCACAGCCCCAGAAGGTGTTTCTGCTGTTCCCATTTCACAAGAGGGGAAATTGAGTCAGGGGCGGAGTGGGCATTGAATTCACTGGCCTAAGGCTGTACAAAGGATCCTTGGTATCGGTGGTTAAGCGGTGAGCTGCTGAAAGTTGGCAGTCGAACCTACCAGCTGCTCTGAGGGAGAAAGATGAGGCAATCTGCTCCACAAAGATTACAGCCCAGAAAACCCTATGGAGCAGTTAGTTCTCTCTGTCATATAGGGTGGCTATGAGTTGGAATTAACTCCATGGCAACAACAAGGGTGTACACGGGCCACCCCAACAATGTTCATCCCTTGGATCAGGGAGTGGAAAAATAGAAACACCACTGACTTCTGCTGGTGAAGTCCAGGAGAGTAAATAATGTGATATGGTAATAGCGGTACCATAACCGTGTGTGTGTGTGTGTGTGTGTGTGTGTGTGTGTGTGTGTGCGCGCGCGCGCATGTGTAAAGAGCTATGGGAGCACAGAGAGGAGGAAAACATTTCACACAAGATACCACGACGTCTGAGGGACCTTGAACGATAAGTAGGAGTCTGACTGGGAAGTGAGGCAGATAGATGAAGGCCATTAGGGTCAGTGCATAACAAATCTAGGACTCATAGAATCTAAAACTCTGGGGTCCTAAGTCTCTGTTCTACACAATATATCATCTAGCCACTTAAGCAAACACAATTATTAATAATAATAATTATTATTATTATATCCTATTAGGTCACTTGGGAGCTCTGGTGGCATAGTGGCAAAGGCATTTGACTGCTAACCAGAAGCCTGGTGGTTCAAACCCACCAGCCACTCCTCGGAAAGAAAATTGGGCAATCTACTTCCATAGTGCCTTGGAAACCCAAGGAGGGGTCACTTATGAGTCAGCGTCCACTAGATGGCAGTGAGTAAGTAAGTAAGGTTACTTATTTTTCCTCCTCTTTCCCAGGCAATACTTGTCCAACAAATATTTACTGGCACCTAAGGTACTATGCTGAGGACACAGCAAAATAGCCGACCCAGCCCTAACCCTGGTCCCAATGAGCTCACAAGAGGAAACAGATATGTAAGCAAATAACCATAATAAAGTGTGATCAGGGTAACCAAGGGCTGTGCAATGTTTAATGAAAGCACTGAGGAGGGAGCCTATCCCCCTGTATAGGTAGTTGAAAGGGCTTCACTGAGGAGGCAATTACACTGGTCCAAAGGATGAAAAAGAATTATGTGGATGATGACAGACAAGGGAAGGATGGGCTTTCCTGGCAGAAGGTAGCTATGTGTATCAACGTTCAGAGGTAGAAAATAGTTTGAGTTCTGGAAATGATGACCTGTTCTTGTGGTTGGGGCTGTAGATAGTGAAGGGGCTTTGCATATAATACTAAGAAAAGTATCCTGTCCTCTGTGAAAATCCAATGGAAGCCCAAACAACAGAAAATAAACTAGATAATTAAATACTACATATGTACAATAGAATATTATGCAACCTTAAAGTATAATGAAGAATCAGTGAATCACCTCATAATGTGGATGAACTTGGAGGACATTATGCTGAGTGAAATAAGTCAATCACAGAAGGAAAAATATTGTATGTGTCTATTATTATAAAAATTCAAAGAAAGGTTTACCCAGGGAAGGAAATTTTCTTTGTTGGTTACCATGAATGGAAGAGGAGTGGAAGGGAGGGAAAACAGACGGATAATTAAGAGAGAAGTTTGATATGGGTAAAGGGATTTTAAAAAATACTATTAAAAAAAAAAGATTAACCATTTGTTGATAGTTTTTGAAGCTAGGTTATGGCCACATGGGGGTTCATTGTACTAGTCTTTGTTTCTGTCTGAAAGACATTTTATAACTCATGTTTGAAAGAAAAAGGAAAAACTTATGCCCATCAAAAGACTTTACCAAAAGAGTAGAAAGAGAACCTACAGACTAGGAAAAACTTTTTGGTCATGACATATCTGACAAGGGTATAATCTCTAAAATATACAGAAAACTTCAATACCTCAACAACAAAAAGACCAACAATCCAATCAAAAAATGAGCAAAGGACATGAACAGACACTTCACCAATGAAGACATTCACCAGTGCCTAACAAACACATGAAGAGATACTCACAATCACTAGCCATTAGAGAGATGCAAATCAAAACTACAGTGAATGCCATGTCACCTCTGCAAACATGACACTGATCAAAAAAACAGAAAACAATAAATGCTGGTGAGGTTGTGGGAAGATTGGAACACTTATACACTGCTTGTGAGATTGCAAAATGGTGCAACTACTATGGAAAATAGTATATACTTCCTCAAAAAGCTAGAAATAGAAATACCATATGATGCAGCAATCTCACTCCTAAGTATATATCCCAGAGAAATAAGAGCAGTGACACAGATAGACATGTGCACATCCATGTTCATTTCAGCCTTATTTACAATAGCAAAAAGATGGAAACAGCTTAAGTATCCACCAACAGATGAATGAATGAACAAAATGTGATACATGTACACAATGACATACTATGCAATGATAAAGAATAATGATGAGTCTGTAAAATATAGCATGAAAGACATTATGCTGAATGAAATAAATCAATCACAAAAGGACAAAATTATATGATATCACTTTTAGAAGAAGTCAAGAATAGGTTTACACACAGAAAGCAACGTTCTTTGGTGGTTTCAGGGAGGGGAGAAGGAGGAAGGGAGAATCATTTACTAGATAGTAAAAACCAAATTCAAACTACTGTCATTTAATTGATTCTGACTCATAGTGACCCTCTAGGACAGAGTAGAACTGCCTCATAAGGTTTCAAAGGCTATAAATCTTTATGAAAGGTCCAGTAGAGTGGTTGGTGGGTTTGAACCCTGATCTTTTGGTTAGCAGTCAAATGCTTTAATCACTGAGCCACCAGAGCTCCTTACTAGATAGTAGACACATATTAAATTTAGTGAAGGAAAGGCAATACACAATATTAAGGAAGTCAGTACAATGTGACCAAAGTAAATGAAGACACTGAGAGGTATGCAAGAATAAAAGACAACTATGGTAAATGCTATAACATATACAGTTCTGCAACAACAGTAATAATAACCAAAAATTTGTGAGTGGTTATATAGCTACACACATATGTGCTACATATATATTCATATATATATATATATATATATATATATAATCAAGCACAAAGGAGGCATAGTTATGGAAACTTCCTAGACATAACCAAACACCTCATGGGACTGAGTTACTGGGTTTGAAGGCTCAGGACCATAGACTCAGGGGACATCTAGGTCAACTGGCATAACATAATTCATAAAGATAGTATTCTACATCCTAGTTTGGTGAGTAGCATCTGGAGTCTTAAATACTTGTGAGAAGTTATCTAAGATACAACTATTGGTCTCCTTCCATCTGGAGCAAAGGAGAGTGAAAGAAATCAAAGACTCAAAGAAACAGTCCACAGGACTAATGGCCCACACAAAACACAGCTTCCTCTAGCCTGAGCCCAGAAGAACTAGATGGTTCCCAGCTACCACTAATGACTGTTATGACCGGGGACATAATAGGAGGTCTCAATTGGAAAGGGATAAAAATATAGAACAAAACTCAAATTTATCAGACCAAAAAGACTAAACTTACTGAACTGAAGGAACCCCTGGGACTTGTGATACTACATGGTTTAAAATCAGGGAAGGTGTGCATCAGAGTTGTATCCTTTCACCATACTTATTCAAACTATATGCCGAGCAAATAACCTGAGAAGCTGGACTATATGAAGAAGAACATGAGTTCAGGATTAGAGGAAGTCTCATTAGCAACCTATGATATGCAGATGACACAACCTTGCTGAAAGTGAAGAAGACTTGAAGCACTTATTGATGAAGATCAAAGACTACAGCCTTCAATATGGGCTACACCTCAACATAAAGAAAACAAAAGTCCTCACAATTAGACCAATAAACAACATCATGATAAGTGGAGAAAATATTGAAGTTGTCAAAGATTTCATTTTACTTAGATCCACAATCAACACCCATGTAAGCAGCAGCTGAGAAATCAAATGATATATTGCATTGGGCAAAATCTACTGCAAATACCTCTTTAAAGTGTTTACAAGAAAAGATATCACTTTGAGGACTAAAGTGCACCTGATCCAAGCCCTGGTAATTTCAATTGCCTTATATGCATATGAAAGCTGGACAATGAATAAGGAAGACCAAAGAAGAATTGATGCATCTGAGTGATGCTGTTGGTAAAGAATACTGAAATATTCCATGGCCTGTCAGAGGAACAAACAGATTTGTCTTAGAGCAAGTACAACCAGAGCGCTCCTTAGACGTGAGGATGATGAGACCATCTCACATACTTTGGACATGTTATCAGGAGGGACCAGCCCTAGAGAAGGATATAATGCTTGGGAAAGTACAGGGTCAGTGAAAAAGAGGAAGATCTTCAAAGAGATGAATTGACACAGTGTCTGCAACAATGGGTTCAAGCATAGTAATGAATGTGAGGTTGGTGCAGCACTCAGCAGGTTTCATTCTGTTCTACTTAGGGTTGCTCTGAGTTGGAAGCAATTTGACGTCATCTAACAACACAACAACAGCTCATTTATTTCTCATGTTAACTGTATGGCATAAGTAGTATTACTGGTCCCATTTTACAACTGAGAAGAAGGAGACACCAAAAAACAAAACCAAACTCACTGCCATTGAGTTGATTCCAACTCATATAGCAACCCCCTTTACCTTTCCAAGGTGGTAAATCTTTA